TACGTTCCATTCTACTTCTCGTGTGTGTAGTTGCCTGTCTGGCAGAACAGAAAAGTTATGAAGGGTGAGTAAAATAACTATTAGTTGTAGTTGGTACTATGCTACCGTTATTTCCGACACTTTATACGAACAGAAATATGTATAAACGCCCCCAAATCAGACTTCAAAGTACAACGATTCGATTTTGACTCGACGCTCCCGGAGTAAAATTAAGTATGCCATGTTTGGTGAGCATCATCGCACTTACACACCATTACATTGTACAGGCACGGCGAATTTTAAACAAATAGCCTACGATCGCATATTTAAAAGGATTGGAAATACTATTAAATATGTGGTATTAAGTATCTTCCAGTGTTTTTTTCCGGGCACTGACAAAAGGCTTGCAACCTCAAATTTCATTCGCCTTTGTTTGAAGAGTTATCAAATATATATTTCTGACAATGGGCAGTGAGGCAGTTGTAGGATGTGTCAACCGTGTTTCATCGTACCTTACGCAATTAAGTACTGTATTTTTGACAACGGGACATTTGAGAGGCCTTGGTGTATTTTGTTTGCTCAACAGCCAGGATAATGTGATTACTAGTATGTGGCTGCCTTCGAGGATAGAAACGATCAATTATTACTGATATTTGCCAGTTCTATTAAAATTAAAAAGTATATTCGTACATGCTATATAAAAACGAATTCACACAAAAAGGATTATACTACTAAAACATCGCCGTTTTTACTACTTTTCCATGTACTGTGAGTGTACGGTGATACAATGTGAATGGTTTGTCAGAACTAGATGGGAAAATCTTGGCACACGAGTAATCAAATGAACAAACTGAAGTCTTCAAAGGAGTTCTTTTTAAAATGTATTTGTTGACAAGCGGTATGCTCACTTGGGCGAACAGGTGTAGATTAACCAGTTTCGAGACTGTCATGACATAAGCATGTGGAATCTGACATCACAGTAGTTTGTTTTCCCAGTGCAAAACAAGAGTTCAATCCAACTAGCTAAATTAGAAAACTACAACTACATTGCACTGATATAATATAAATCATAGTAATTGATATTATCACAAGATGCCTAACGTATACTATACTACTATTATTTAGTTACCAGGTACTCCGTATGGAGTCAGTCAGCCAAGAACAAGCAAAGGCTTTGGCAACACTAATGGATGATCCCAAGGTAAGCTGAATTATTAAATTAAATCTAAATAGGAATTTACAGAAAATATACCCTATACATAAACTTTCTCTTCTTCAAAGCTTGATTTCTGGGATTTCCCACGTGACTTGATGGTACCACCTTCCGAAATGAAAAGGGTGACGAGTTTTCTCAATGTCCAACGATTGAAGTACAGTGTCTGGATGGAAGACGTTCAAGAGAAAATTGACGGCGTTTTCAGTGACATTCCTAGAACTGAAGAGTTTGATTACTTCGTTTATCACACTTATGACGAGGTACGTATGACCCGTGTACGTTTTGTTATGTGCGGCAGTCATCTATCAGGGGGAAATTCTTCTCCACGGGGGTCTAGCACACTTGTCAGGGGGGAATCTCGGCTCGTCTCTATGTCTCGTCCCCTTGAGGTGCGGGATCGGGGAAGCCACTTAAGCTTTACAGTCAAATAAGACACACACAACGACATACGGTTCAACTCTCGTCTTAGTCGGTCTTTCGAGCACTCTATAAGACACAGCGCCCTGGGGGAAAAGTCCCCAAGACTATCACAAGGCTGACCCAAGACTCTCTTAGACTGCGTCAAGGATCGCCCCAAGTCTCTCCAGGACTGCGTCTGTTCTGGTGTACTCCTCAAGACCAACTCAAACTCTCTTTATTCATTTTCAAAACTCTAACCAATTACAAAACAGTAAAAAGACTCTAGGGCGTAACCTTCAATCATAAAGCCAATCACACTAAGTACTGAATACGTCATATCTTTTGATTAATCGTTCACTACATTAATAACTACGAATACCAACTGTCAAAAAGAGTAGTCTGAATAGCGACGGTTATCTCGTAATTAGTTCCAAATCACTGAGTCGAGTTCTGTCCAAAACTTCAAATAGGCCTAAGCGATGACAGACATAACACAGCAATTCGCTAATAATCAGCTAATTAAGTCGGTCAACAGATACGCGAAAACTAATTCATGACACATCACCCATTCGCCTCCTTACCAAAAACTTGTAGCTATCATGAAAACCTCATTCAATGCTTTAAGGTGAATGAGAATTACCAATTTAGGCAAAGACATGTGTATTTTACAGGGACAACTCTTGTTAGGCCTCACAAACAAATGTATCTGGTTTTATTTCCTTTGACAAAGCACACATTTTACAGGTTTATCAATTCACCAACATTGGGCCCTCTGCAGTGGCTGAAAAATGAGGACAAAAAGATCAGCCCGCAATATTTTTGTTGGCGCTGACCAGAAAACATAACTGTCGGAATATGTAATTATTTTTCAGATTATTGCTTGGATTGGCGATACTGTCGCAACTAACAGTGACATAACGAGTTCTGAATCTATTGGAACGAGTTATGAGGGTAGGGATCTTCCTGTACTGAAGGTTAGTAGAAACGTGTAATGCCACTTGAGAAATCAATCAATCAATCAATCAATCAATGCATCCTGATTTATTTTTCATTTGCTGATAATTCGCGAAACTCCATGGAACTTTTCGAGGCATTTAATAGAAACAATTGCGAGGGGTGCAGCATTAGGATGGAGTAACTTTTTCTGCCTTTCCTCTCAAAAATTAAACCGGTGAGCCCCAAAAGTCCCCAGTTCACAGTCTTGCTATGGGTAACAGACTATCGCGATGGGACAGCTGACGCTTACTCCTACATCCGTACCCGTCTAAAGCTAAAATCAATGTGTTTCTTTATTGAATTAGTTGGGTATAGACACTGGAAAAGTCAAGAAGGTCATCTGGTTTAATGGTGCAATACACGCTCGTGAGTGGATTTCTCCGGCAACTGTCATGGCGATTACTAATCAAGTAATTGTTTACATTTTATTAATTATCACTTGCTTATGGAGTCAGTGGCACATTGTTATGGAATTCCACAAGTTATATTTAATATCAATACCTAACAGATTAATTGCAATAACCAATTCTATATCTATCATAATATGCATCCATTTTCAGCTGATTGTAGACTACCGTGCAGGAGACCCTGACATCACATTTTTATTGGAAACTTACGACTTTCACATTTTAATAATGTTCAATCCCGATGGCTATGACTACACGTGGACGAATGTGAGTAATTCCATTCTAACTTACACATTAATTCAATCCTGAATACATATTGCAGGGTCACAACGTTGTTACGTACCCTTGTTTCCCACAAACAAATGGGTGTTCAATGTTTGGCAGGTCATATTAACATTCTAAGTGTTCATATCATAATTTATGATGGACATTCTTCCAGGATCGTATGTGGCGTAAGACTAGATCTCCAAATGACGGCAGCCCTTGCGACGGAACTGACCCTAACAGAAATTTCGACTATGAATGGGGAGGTAACTATTTATTCCGTTCTAGTAACCAAACATCCATAAACTATTTACATCAATAGACCCAATAGAATTTTATATCATTTTCGAAAACACTGGATAAAACACATAAATTGGCACATCACACTCCAAACATTATTTATCGGAGTCCATTTTAAAAGTGTTTTTCTTGTTTATTGAACAGGACTCGGCGCCTCCACTCTTCCATGCGGTTCAACATATCGTGGGTCACATGCTCTATCTGAAATTGAAGTCGTAAATGTTGAGGGCTACCTCACTACCTTGTCTGCCACTCAGGAGCTATTCATGTACATCGACTGGCATAGTTACTCTGAACTGATGCTCTCTGCGTGGGGATATACAGATCAATATCCAGTCGATTATGCTGATATGGTATGGCCTAACACATTTCACTATTGGAGACCCTCTCCGCTAGGTTTTACCTTATAGTCACCAAAGATGCTATTTCTATATGTTTAGATTACAGTTATTAATTAATGGCCGGCAGTTGCATAAAACACTTTGTTAGGTTCGCACGGGGTAAATTACAACTTAGATAAGATCTGCTAACGGCATATGCTCGTATATCAACTGTCGCTAATATTGATATTGTCAAATATCGTCACACTATGTTGCGGAGCTCACTTTTATAAAACATCGGTTAAAGTGGGGGAGTCGTCACCTGCGCATGCGTCATATGGCCTTAGCGTGTTAATGTTTACAAACAAGCGTCTACCCATGAGCCTTTGCATTTTTGCGTGTGTTGTTATCATCGCTTGGGACTCAATTTCCGCGCGTGCGCACGTGACGACCATCCCGCTTTAAAAACACATTTAGAGCAGCAGAATTATCACATATCATAGACCAATGTCAAGTTATCCGTCACATCCGCCAAATCAAACCACTTTTTTTCACCTTATTTGCCACACTATTCACCAAGTTTTATAATAACCATTTTTTATCGCGCGTAATGAAAAAAAGAAACAAAAAAAAAAAAGCTAGAAATACTGAACTAAAAACAAAAATACTATTAATACAGAAACGATAGCGAATAAACTTGTAACAAACGCATATCTATGTACAGAGCAGTATTTTTTATCATTGTATAATTGAATAATAAAGTGCACGATATAGTCGATTGCTCACTAAACAGCTCACAGTAAACAACAGTTTTTCCAAACAAACTTGGTATGAACTGAACACATAATAGTGTGGCATAAGTGGTTGCAAAAAAGTGGCCGATAGCTTGATTTGTGGATGGAAGTGGCCGATAACTTGATTTGGCGGATGGGAGTGGCTGATAGCCTGATTTGCGGATGAAGTGGCCGATAGCTTGATTTGGCGGGTGGGAGTGGCCGATAGCTTGATTTGGTGAATGGAAGTGGCCGATAGATTGATTTGGCGGATGAAAGTGACCGATAGCTTGATTTTAGCGGATGGAAGTGGTATTTAGCATGACGTACAGCATAAACAGTGCACTTACGAGAATTAAAACACATTCGCATTCAAAATTGGCATACGAGGCGCTCGCAATGACACTAGTATATTCTTATAAATTCTTGGTATGTATGATGTTTTTTTTATCTTACCGATAGGATGCACACATGCAAGTGCATACTCAAGCTATGGGTGCGGTACACGGACACTATTATGAATACGGAGCAAGTGGAGTAACATTGTGTAAGTAGAGGGGGGCAAGGGTTATTTTCGTTCACCGTAATTGCAATATTTTTTTGTTCGTACAACGTAAATTGAAAAAACAAATTTCGTAATTCTGTAATCACAGGCTAGACGTACAACGTAATCAATCAAATATTTTGTTTGTACACTGTAAAAATGTGTCATTTTTCTCGGTACGTACAAGAATTTACATCCAAATAAAAAAATCGTAAAGAATAATCCAGGGAAATTACGTTTTAGAAACTGTAAAACGACTAGATGACACAATTCACTGCAAAATTGAATGTCAAGACGTAAAAGGCCCTTTAACCGAATGAAGAGCATTACGAGGGTAATTTGCGCATGCGTCTCTACACACGGCGCAGCAATGGCGGATAATTTGAGTCGGAGAGCTCTTCGGACCATTCAATGTTCCATTTGTTATCACTATAAACTGTAAAAACGTTTTTTTCCCTTGTAAATTGTAAAAAGCCCTTTTCATTTTCCGTAAAACTGTACCAGCTACCCCCCTTACCCCCCTAAGTACGCCTCATAAGTTACTGCGATTATAACCGGCTGCATTATTCTAGTTGACCAATTTCACCCATCTTCTCCAGCGAAGGAATGTTTGTTTCGAGTCACCCCTCCAAACAATCTCCCAGGCAGAGTTCTATTTCTACGAATATATCTTTGCCACCACGCGATCATGTGCATGTCGTTGATTGGTCGATGCGTCAAAGTGGCACTAGTTTCAAAGACGCCCAACGAAACATTGCCTTGCGCAAGTGCTCGATTTTCGAACCCAACGAAGTCTGTCTGTTTTTAAAGTGAGAGACTGATTTTTTTACTTTCCGTAACACAAACGGTGTGACATTAGGACCACAGTCAGCTGGCGCATACGTGATAATAAAATAAATACGATATTTACTATATGGGGGCCGCCATCTTGAATGCAGCATAAAACTAAATAAGAGACAAGTTGTGAAACGCGTTTCAGTTCAAAATTCTGAGTGATCAGTCGAGTAGAGTTTCTGAGATTTTCTTCAGAGTTGACAGTTTCTTTACTTTGTTAAAACATGGTCGACATAAATAATATTTGGCACTTTGCTGGCGAAGTATGCCACAAACAGTCTGCAACGTTGGCATACAAATTGTGGAAAACTGGTCGAAAAAATGCAGCGCCGTTTTTTGGGGGTTTGGCAAACAACCTAAACACACTCTACACGCACGATTACTAGAAGAATTTCGAAGTAACCGTGCTACACTATACCATTTACGACATTTTGTTTTTTTAGCTTACCGCGCAATGTTACATGGTGTCTGATTGGGCGCCTTTCCAACAGGCGCATCCAATCAAACTTGGCAATTTGTTTAACATAAAATACGTGTTTACCAAGGCTAATCCCGCACGAGTTGGTGGATTCGACAATGAGTCAGCACCAATAAACCGTGCGATTCGGACGACGAATTTCACCATATTCGTCACTTAAATACTCTCTTTGTGCATCATGTTCGTCAGATCCAACATCAGGCACGACTGTAGACTGGGCTTATGGCGACCGCGGCATCATCTATGCGTACACAATCGAACTCCGTGATACGGGTGAATACGGATTCCTGCTTCCTGAAGACCAGATACAACCAACTGCAGAAGAGAATTATGCCGGACTCATCGCCGGCCTGTTGTTCATCACACCCTGAACCATAATAATATCTTGATATAAGACTACAAATACAATGACAAAGTAAATATTTGAGATCACTAGAATATATGTGTTGTACAGTGTGAATTATTTTGTCACATCCCCTCAAAATTAAGTATGTCGTAATCAGGTATACATCGCTCGATCTTTTAACTACAAGGATGTGTTTGAGAACTATAAACACCAAATCTCTTTTCCCTGAATTTCCGATCAGTAATTTTACAGGCAGACATACGTACTTCATATTAGGTCAAAAGTTTTAGAAAAACCAAAGGTCAAACCAGCTAGATTTACAGCCAAAACAAAGTCAGCTTGGACGTTCAGTTGCGAGACATGACAAAATAAACGCAGCGAGTGCTACATTTCGAAAATAAAAATACAATTTATGACGCAGACACTGTAGTACAATGAAAAAGTATATTTATTGCCAATAAGGGGGGGGGACTCACCAAATCCCACCTAAGCTGCACTAAAGCAACGATAACTAACAGAGAAATGCGAAAATACGGTGACTCCCCCCAAAAACGTAACAGAATAGTAAAAATGCATAAACAAAAGTATAACCATCAACACAGTATAAAAATGCAACTGCAGAGTACATGTAGAAGTAGCGTGACTGCGACTACAAGGTAGTTATCGAATAACTGTAACTACAGGAATGTTAGATGGTAGAGGCAGCTCTACTGGTAGATACATTGGTATTGTACTACAAAGAATGTATTAGTATATGTAGGTAGCAAAGCTACAAGGTAGAAATGGCGAGCACCATAACTACAATGGTAAAATGAAGTGATGGTGAAAAGTAGGTATTTAAAAAACAGTACTAAAGAAACTTTAAAAACAATACAATACAAAATATGCATAAATTAAAACAGTTATCTTGGGGGGTAAATTGCCTTAAGTAATAAGGCAAAGCCCCCAAAACTATGCCAATTAAATAGGAAATGGGCATAGTGACCCCCAAGATAATAAAAAATACAAATAAGCTTGAATTATCACTACTTACAACAATGAGCAATTTTTTTTATATCTACTTCTATAACATACACTTATTGAGCAGATTAAAACTACATATCTAAAAACAAAACAAAAATAACCCTGGCACTTGCCACAATACAAAGTTCATAAGATATTTTATATCTCTAAAAACCTGAAGCTCCTGCCATGGTAGATTGCGCATTACCCAAAGAACCCTTAGAAACATGAATATAACGATTGTACGAATTAGATGTCCTAACGTCTTGATCATATGATCTTGAACACCTGCCTGGGCCGCTGAGGATGCTGCTCCTATGCGAAAGGAGTGACCAGTATATAGTGATGGATCTAAGTGCAGTAAGGTCAACAGATGACGCAAATACTGGAGGAAAGTTACACGTGTCAAAGGACAATTGTCAATAGAAAATAGAGGATCAGTAGACTTGGGGGTTGGCTTGCAAGCTAAACGTTTACCCAAGTACACACGAAGAGCAGTAACAGGGCACATTTGGCTGTTAGAACATAGTATAATAGTAGTGCCATGACGAACTAGGTCTGTCTTAGAAGCTTTCAGTCGTAAATGGGCATCCCCGTTTGACATGAAAGATACATCTTCAATACACAGATTCAAATTGGAGTCAAATTTGGAGTTATAAACAGTGAATTCTCCACAACGTAAAAAAACAAAAAATGCTACAAGAATAGTGACTTCCAATAGACTATCTGTATAGGGAGGGAAAACACCCTTCTTTAAAGTTGAGATTAATTGAAATGCCAAATCGGCAGTAATGGGGAGCCTCTTTTGAGTCTCACGCGCAAGATCACGTTTGATTGCTTTCATGAAAAGATTTAAACGAACCATGAGTCCTTCTTTGGATTGCCATGGATAAGGTAAGTCTGCCTGTAAGTAAACAAAGCGTATACCAGCTAAATATAACTGTATTGTAGATGCACTCAAGTTTAATCGTTTGAAACAGTGTGTGACAAAAAGTAGTAGAAGATTCTCTGAAATATTTGGTAAAGCTGAAACAATTAACATTATGCATTATGTTGAATCTAATGAAATGAGTAAGTCCGGTATGGTATGCCTTTCTAGTCTTCTCTGATACAGTTAACTTCCACAACAGCTTGTATCCTGAACTAGATGTGGATTGCCGTTGAGTATGGTGGACACGGCATATTGCCACTGTGTGCTGTAGGTACTAAGGTGTGGAACTTCTGTAATTGAGACCGAGAGAGGGCATCAGCAATATCATTATGTATTCCAGGTAAATATCGTGCTAAAACCACAAAGTTATTCTTCATAGCTGTCAAGGTTAAACGTCGCATCAGTTTGTTAATGACATGGCACCGTGCTGATGCCCTTCCCTTCTTGATCATCTGTACTGTCGGATATAACTCCAGAAGGGAGTTCATCAGTCTGCATACCATTCAACTCTACTGGCCACGACTGACTGAACCAACTACCCTGAAAGAAACCACCAAAAACCAACAGTAGATGATGCATCCGTGAAAATTTGCAAATCCATGGCTTCTACAATATCTACATTCATGAATAGGTGAATACCATTCCAGGACCACAGGAAATCTTCCCACATGGTCAATTCCATTCGACAGTCTTTGTTCAAAGTAACATGGTGGTGTACTTTATGTACAGATGCTGCAAATTTCAGCATATGGGACACAAAAGAACGACCCGGAAGAACTACTCTGGCAGCCAAATTCAAATGACCCAATGTAGATAGCATTTCCCGTTTAGTGACAGTGGTCTTAGAAGTCATGTCGGCTATCTTAGATGTAATTCTTTCTTTCTTGACATCTGGCAAGAAAGCTACCATATCCTTTGAATTTAGCATGACCCCCAAATACTCTAATTGATCTGTTGGACCAACAGTTTTGTGCTTGGCCAGCGGTATGTTATAAGACGCAAAAAGCATAGTCATTATGGCCATAGTACGAAATGCGTCCTCTTCCTGTGCATCAATCGTCAGGAAATCATCCAGTAAATGGATAATAAAGTTCACAGAAAGTCTAAATTCTGCAACCCAGCAAATTGGCTGTGACACCATATCAAATATTTTCGAGCTGGTTCTGCTACCAAATACAAATCGAACAAAGAAATAGTACTGATTGTCCCATTTTACCCCATGCAGATGCCACATTGAAGGATGTAAAGGAACTTAAACTTGAATGCATCTGTAATGTCAAATTTCGACATAAAAGCATTTGCATCAAGTTTCTTTAACTGTACAATAGCATCATCCACGCGAATGTACGATAAAGAATACAGTTCTTTATCAATGAGGTCCTTCAAACTAGCTACCGCCAGGTTATCATGAAGAGCTGACAAGTCTATAATGAGACGTTTCTTTTTTGAATATTTCCCTTCTGCTATACCAAGTGGACTGACTCTGTATACCGGAAATGGGGGTGTATCAAAGGGTCCAATCATATACCCCTTGTCCAATTCAGTTTGAAGTAATGCAGCAACTGCTTCCGGGACTCTTCTTGCAGAAAGGTTGTTTCTACATTCAAAACTAACTGATGGAGAATTCTCAATACCTGTTAAAAAACCATGGCGTAGCCCTGAGCATAATTTTGTAACAAAGTTCCTGTCAGGGTGCGTAATCAAGTCATGTTCAAGTTTATCCACATTCACTGAAGCTCCAGAAGTCTTAGGCAGTCATTGTACAGGTTTGTTAACAGATGAAGATTTAGGACATTTGTTTGCTGGATGTTTATCTTTGCAATTGTAACATATATGTAGCAAAGAACAGAAATTCCTTGTACAACCTCTTTCCATGTTAAAATTGTTACAAATCTCCCTGACACCTTGGTATACACGTGGTCGACCCCTAACATCTGTAATGCCCCGACCAGTATATTCCCGCACATACTGATTGCGTGGACAGAAATCGTGGGAATGCAAGGTACTCTGACATCTGAAGCATCTGACATCATGCTGCCACCAATCCGCAGCACGAGTAGCAAATTCTTGATGATATTCATAGAACATTGAACCTCCAAAACTGTTAGACATGCTAATAATATCAGTGGTATATAATTCAAGTTCCTCGCGTCTAGTCGGGAAAGCCTCACACATGATTGCTTTGTACTTTCCAAAAGCAGTCAAAAACTCGCTTAAAGTTAAAATCTTATTTAAGCGATGATCAACGTTACCCTTAATTCTGATCTCATTGCCAAGTGAATCAGAAATTAGCTGCTGCCCAACAACTCGTGTGACGGAATAAGCAAAGCCGCAAGATTGACATATTTCCCTTCAATAATGTTCTTTCTCAAAGACAATGAGACTGATATAAGACGCGACAGATCGTTTCAACGATTTTCCAAATTTATTTATCTCAGTAGAAAAACCTGAAGACTGACCTGAGATATTTGCTTGGGTGGTGTTGCCAGTTGTTAATCGATCCTCCGGTGAAAATTCAAACGTTCGGGGGCCGTAACGATCGGCACACTACAAGATGATGTCGCCGCCATATTGGAATCACGTTGTTGACACAGAAAGTTTAATCGTTCATGTATACCATGCGTGGACTGTTGAAACGCTAATATTTCGCAGTGATTGTCCATTTCGGTCGTCGAGGCACTAGTAGTACCAGTATCTCTGTCCAAAGGCTGATTCCCAGACTAATTATCTTCAGGTGGACACGTTTCCGTGCTGGCGATCCCATGCAAATTACTTACAGGCGGACATATATCTGTACTAGTTGATTATGTTTGTTCATTGTGCTCATTATTCGTAGATATAGAGGGAGCGTTCCGTCTCTTATTCAATGTTGTATGTCTGAATCAGTACCTTCCTGGACGACGGGGTGCATAATTATGCCTACACCTTCTAATTTCTGTCTCAAAACCAGCCGACCAATTATTAGGATTATCTTTGTTGTGGCCTGTGGTAAGGCAGAGATGAAACAACAAAGTTTGCAGGAACAAACGATAGACTTTACTTTATTCAAAAACATGGCTTCACCAACCGACAGGTACATGCTCATATGTGAACTACAAGCGCGGGAAATATGCTAATAAGACGAATATACTACATTCCTCTGCCCTT